TGTACATATATATATATATACAAAACATACATATATATTTATACATATATACATATATATAGTATATATATATGCATGTATGTATGTATTGTTGTTTTATGGGTTTACCAGTGACACAAAATCCTGTTGGCAAAGTGGAATGATAACGTTCCTTTCTCTAAAACAGTTGCTGATTCATAGCATTGCAATAATAACGGCTTTTCTGTTAGCTAACATTTGCCTCTCATTATTGTTGCTGAGTATCTTCGATTATTCCACCAAAAGACCTAAATCTTTTCTATTTAAGTGCCCATTAACTGGCAGGCTCTGCGATCCTAATGGGACTCCCAATTAGAGCTTTATTAAAGGCAGGTGAGCTGGAAAGGTCATCCATTAAGCCTATACAGCAGAGGTTAAACACTCGTATACAGCCAGATGCTTGGATCCTTCCAAACGTCTGTTGTCTGCTCTGGGCCCCTAATCTGTTATCAAGATCTTTTCACTATACATCTAGTCCTGTGTGCTAATTACATTATTAAATAGGTTTATGTAGCTAGTCAGAAAGCTGTGACTGTCTGTGGGCTTTTGGTTCAGGACATGGGAATCAGGTATTCCTTTCAAGACATGTATTTAGGATCCAGGTGTAGTGGGTAGGTTTAAGAAGACACGCTGCGACTCCTCGTCTGTGTGGGGAATGATGATGCAACTGAAATGTGTAAGTTGGAATGTAAAAAAATGTAAACAATGTAAATCCGGCCCGTGGTTTTTCTGTAAACCTGCCGATAAGCAGACAAACACACTAAACCAGGAAACATGACCTCCTTAATGGCGAAGGTATAATCAATAGTAGGAATTACACAAATGACAATATCAGGAATAGGATTACTTAATATATAAATGTGGAAAAAAGCTGCAGTGACAGGCGTGGCCTCGCTAAACCTCAGCAAACAGAAATAACAACACTTCTTAACAAGATACAACCTACTGGATGTGAACACAGTGTCACCTTGTGGCGAAAACATGATTGCAGAACAATAAAATACACAACGGCTAGTGTTCCTTCTTCTGACAGAAGAAGTTTGCTTCATCACCCTTTTACACGGACATATCTATACTGAATTTACCCTTTTATTTCCCCATGAGTGACTGCCACTGTCTGCCTGTAAAAACTGCACTTATGGTAAAGGCTTGTATTTACGGAAGTTCACAATATTACCACATCATTTCTCTCTTCATCCTGCAAGTACAACCGGTAAATATTCATCATCTCAGGTGATCCATAAAAACAAGAGTTTCATCACTAACATATCAGTAAGCACATCATGCATTTACTGGCTTTTGCGCTGCTCATTAAACACACACAAACAAGCTGCATGTCTGAGTGCATTAATTAAGCCGAGCACAAACACGAGGCAAGTAAGCTGCCTAATGCCCTGCTGTAATCGCCACGATATATCAAACATAACCAAATGTGCTTATGAGGTCATCAATTAAGCTAATTAATGCGATAGGAAGCAATACTTCTATGTCAGAGTAGTTTCTTGCACACAATAAGGGAGCCAGATATTAACATTATTATTATTGTGCAAAGTCATGAAGAAAGATCATCTATTGCTGTGTTTTTAGAAGCGACTGGTCTGAGCCACACAGAGCCGGCAGACAGCACAGATCCTATAACGTCGTCGTGTTCCGGCCAAACCCGGCGTCTCTCTCTGCGCCTTCACGCTGCGTCCATCTGACTGTGAGTCAGTGTACAACAGCGGGCCACTTCACCCGTCCTCTTCCGCTATAATCTGATAAAAGGCTTGAAAAAAACAACAACAACAGAAAACAAGAGGAGCTGGTTAAAACACCGCAATGCGAGATGAAAGCGCTCTACATGAATAGCCTTTAAAATGGCTGTGGTAAGGACTGGTGGCTGGGGGGGGGTTAGGGAGAGAGAGTAAAGGAGAGACGGATAGTGGGTGTTCTGTGAGTCCCGGATAGAGGCACAGTGTTTCATCTGCCTCCAAGACACCAGGGGTTGGCTCTCACACTCTCTCTCACACACACACACACACACACACACACACACACACACACACACACACACACACACACACACACACAGGGACTCAGATCAAAGGCTCACACTACAGAGAAGACTGCCTCCTTTTCTCTCCACCTCCCTCTCTCTCTTTCACACACGCACACAACACACATGCATGCGAGTCCACAAAGATGGGAATAATGCAAATACCCTTATCTTTTCCGTCTCCATCACACATTCACACACACACGAAGCCTGTGTATCATCCGAGCGCACTCGCAGGCCATTTTTCCGTGCATTTTGACCGACCATTTTTAAGCGTCTATCCTGCAGTCACAATGAAGTTGCAGTGACTCTTTTGACATTATGCTTGGAGCACCAATCGTGTACACGTTTCTTGTATCCGTACCCGTCATAATGATTTGCGTGTGCGGGCAGAGGTGCATGCATCTGTGACTTTGGGTGCAGCCATACATGCGATTGTGATTTGTGTGCAAACGGTGTGGCTGCTGGATGACAAACGGTGCTCCTCACACACTACATCCCATGCAAATTCATTGTTTGAGGTTGACATGGGTGCCAGGTCCAGAGACACGAACAGATGTGGGCGGCTCGAAGCATCTGAATAATGGATAGGACGCACACATTTTGGACAGGACACACAAACACACGCCTCAGATTGAGCCCGGTTCTTTCGGAGGTGATGAAAGCCGCCTACCTGTTGGATAGGCTGCACGTTTGCAAATAGTGTCTAAGTGTATTATTGCGATTACAGTCGGATCGCGCATATCAACCTAAACACTTTGCCATTTGACGCCGAATGACGCAAGGGAGGGGAGGGGTTTGGAAGAGGGAGAAAAAGGGGAAATGTTTTCCACAAACACCAATCACAGCGACTGGCCTTGGGTAATTCGCTGCGCTCCTTTCCTTCTTTCTTATTGGGCACGTTCTCTCTCTAAATTTGGTATAACTATTGCCTGGCTGTGACAACCAAATTATCTGTGAAATCATTCTGATTATATGCCCACACACCAGGCAGGACCCTTCTAAGTGTGTGGATATGTCTAATGGGCTGTACCCTTTCCAGAGCAGAAAAACAACAGCATTTTGAGACGTGAACAATCAGCCGTTTGAAGGGGAGACCTGCTCAATGCCATGGACCAGTCTGCTCTCCTCCCTAAGTGCCATTTCCCATTTCACTGTTCTTCTCCTCTCTCCATTTCTTTCAGCAATAGTCACCTCTGACTTGCACAAACAGCAGCAACGTGGTCCCACATTTAGTAAAGTGGCGCCTCATTCTCTCAGTTTAAGAGGCATTTGACGATTTTAAAACTATTCATGGTCTGCATGTTTTTACCTCCATATATTGTAGTTTTCATTGGGAGTGGCGGAGTCCGCCATTCAACAAATAGATTAAATTGCTTATCTGTGCACAAAGGAAATATTGGATGTAATGTAATCCAGTGTTACTGTTTGTAGTTTTATCACATTGATATTAGCCTAACTGTATTACTGTATAGCTGTATTACTGCTAATACTAACCCAACATTTACTGCTTCTCATTGAAAACATTCAACCCGCACTGAGTAACTTATTTTGTGGTCCCTTTTAACCACCAGGTGTCGCCAAATTAACAAAGAAAGGAAATCATGAGCAATACAACTGTAAAGAAAAGGCTTTGGTTTGTCACATTTTCAGACTATTTTATCTTTCACTGGTTTTCCTTTTCATTGGGTGCCCCTTCGCTAGATCTCCCCTGTGGCTCAGTCCTTCCATCTTTCAGGGTTTCGTCTGGGGCTAAGGCTACTAACCTCTGGAGTCCTGTCCTTTGTGTATCTGTGTGTGTGCGCACTGTCATCGGACTTTCTTTCAACTTTCTCTCGCTCCACCCTTTAACAAAGTCGTGGACATGCGAGTGTGTGTGTGTTTGCATCAATGTTGTTTGATGTCGCCTCAAGCTGTTGTCGTCCTGTTTGCTCTGTGTGTGTGTGTGTGTGTGTGTGTGTGTGTGTGTGTATGGTACAACAACACAGAGATAGCGCAGCAGCAATAGATAAAATGTGTGTGGACGCTGGTGAAAGAGAAACCAGGCCAGCTCCCAGCAGAGCACGACCGTGTGCCCACAAGTGTTTCCCAGAGCCTCGATCTGCACATGCATGTTTATGTATTAGTGTGTGTGTGTTTAGCACTGAGGAGTACAACTGCTCTTGTTTTTGTCACGGGCCGGTCCAAGTGTGGCATAGGGATGCAGGAGAACACACACACACAC